GTGATTAACAATGTTCTCAATTCTATTAAACGACCTAGGGTTTTCAAATTTCCAGATGACTAGTCAAAGAAATCGGTTTTGAATGCAAGCACAGATGAAGAACCAAAAGATATTCCTAACAGTTTAGCGATTCTACAAACTCTTCATCAACCTTTGAAAAACCCTAACTTAACTAACAGATTACTCAGACATGATCATGAAGACAGAAGACATAACTGAATAAAACTGCATTAAATAATCTGTTAGTTAAGTTATTTTCTCTAAAAGAGTACAGGATCTGTCTCCCCAAATGCTCTGAATAAAACTCTCTCTAAAGCTCTCTGAATTCTAAAATCTCTGATAAAACCAACAGTGACTGAGAACCTAATATATACAAGCTAAAACATGAGTTGGGGTCTTCTTGCAAATAGTGGAACTTCTGGGCCAAAAATGTAATTTATCCTCCATCTTTTAAAATAAGTCGCGACTCCTCTTCAGATGCGGGTGACAAGCGTTACCCTTGAGTGGTGACAATCGTCACCAAGGCCAATCAATGCTTCCGAGTTGCTAACTTTGTGGTTGATTCTTGCAATGCTCCAAAGAGCTTCAAAATCTCCAATTATGCTCCAGACATGCTATAACCTGCAAAGACTCTACTAGGACTCTAAAAAGACCAAAAAGACTAAAAAAGGACTTATACCATGGTTAAAAACCATAAAAACCATGATATATCATGTGCCAAACGTCGTCCGGTTTCGTTGAAAAACACTGAAAATAAACCTAACAACTTTTAAAAAATAACAATTTGCGAAGGGATCATACTAAGACATTAAAAAGAATTCATTTTCTTCCACAGTAAGTGATAAGTGTCCTACTTCCCCTTCCATCTCTGATGTTCGTGTGCTTGGTATTCATTAAATATGCATGCTTGTAAAATAATATGGATAATTTGGAACATGCAAAAGTCGCAATTTAATTTTTATTGTTACTTTTGTCCTCTAGCATAACATGCTACTTTAAAATAGTGGATATTTTTTATCTCTATTTATCAGAGTTTCGACAAAAACATTCAGATGGTTTTACTCCGTGATCATGTGATGATTCGAAATTTACTTAACACAGTGTTTTGGTACCGTCCGAACGATTTGCGAGTAACCCGAACCCATTCTGTTCGGAGCAGAACCTTTTGAAAGTGTACTGAACATCGTTCGTATCCATTTAAAACCCTTGAAAATAAACCTAACCACTTTCAAAAAATAACAATTTGCAAAAGGATCACACTAAGGCATTAAAAAGAATTCATTTTCTTCCATAGTAAGTGATCAATGTCCTACTTTCCCTTCTATACATGATGTTCGTGTGTTTGGTAATCATTAAACATGCATGCTTGTCAAATAATATGGTAGTTTGGAACATGCAAATATTGCAATACAAGTTTTTATTGTTACTTTTATACCTCTACCATAACATGTTAATTTAAAATAGTGGATAGTTTTTACCTCTAATTTTTAGAGTTTTGTCAAAAACTTTCAAATGGTTTTACTGCTGTGATCATGTGATGATTTGAATTTACTTAACACAGTGTTTTGGTAGCGTCTGAACGATTTGCGAGTAATCCGAACCCGTTCTGTACAGAGCAGAACCTTTGAAAAGTGTGCCAAATGTCCTTCGGTTCCGTTTAAGATCCCTGAAAATAAACCTAACTTTTTTCAAAATATAGCAATTTGCGAAGGCAACATACTAAGACATTAAAAAGAATTCAATTTCTTCCACAGTAAGTGATCAATGTCCTACTTCTCCTTCCATACCTGATATTTGTGTGCTTGGTATTCATTAAACATGCATGCTTGTCAAATAATATGGATAGTTTGGAACATGCAAAAGTTGCAATATAATTTTCTATTGTTACTTTTGTACCTCTAGCATAACATGCTAATTTAAAATAATGGATATTTTTTTCCTCTAATTATTAGAGTTTCGTCAAAAACTTTCAGATGGTTTTACTGCCGTGATCATGTGATGATTCGGATTTACTTAACACAGTGTTTTGGTACCGTCTGAACGATTTGCGAGTAATCCGAACCCGTTCTGTACGGAGCAGAACCTTTTGAAAGTGTGCTGAACGTTGTTCGGTTCCATTTAAAAATCCTGAAAATAAGCCTAACCACTTTCAAAAAATAACAATTTGTGAAGGGATCATACTAAGACATTAAAAAGAATTCATTTTCTTCCAGAGTAAGTGATCAATGTCCTACTTCCCCTTCCATACCTGATATTCGTGTGCTTAGTATTCATTAAACAGGCATTCTTGTCAAATAATATGGATAGTTTGGAACATGTAAAAGTTGCAATATAATTTTTTATTATTACTTTTGTACCTCCAGCATAACATGCTATTTTGAAATAGTGGATATCTTTTACCTCTAATTATTAGAGTTTCGTCAAAAACTTTCAGATGGTTTTACTGTCGTGATCATGTGATGATACAGATGTACTTAACACAGTGTTTTGGTACCGTCCGAACGATTTGTGAGTAATCTGATCCCGTTCTGTCCGGAGCAGAACTTTTTGAAAGTGTGCCGAACGGCGTTCGGTTCCGTTTAAAAACCCTGAAAATAAACCTAACCACTTTCAAAAAATAACAATTTGCGAAGGAATCATCATACTAAGACATTAAACAGAATTTATGACTAGTGTCCTACTTTTCATTACATACCTGATATTCATGTGTTTGGTATTCATTAAACATGCATGCTTGTCAAAAAATACGGGTAGTTTGGAACATGCAAAAGTTGCAATATAATTTTTTATTGTTACATTTGTACCTCTAGCATAATACGCTGATTTAAAATACTGGATATTTTTATCTCTAATTATTAGAGTTTTGTTAAAAACTTTCAGATGGTTTTACTGCCGTGATCATGTGATGATTCGGATTTACTTAACACAGTGTTTTGGTACCATTCCAACCATTTGTGAGTAATCCGAATCTGTTATGTACAAAGCATAACCTTTTGAAAGTGTTCCGTGCTGAAAAATGTGTCTAGTCACATCAAGATACTATGCTATTTATAGTATTTTGAGGCGGTGGCGATTGTTGGGCCTGATGGGATTTCCTTAAAAATCGGTCAGATCATCCTTCGCAAATGGGCTGGGTCGGCCTCGGTCGGGTCATCCTTATCAAATGGGTTGGGTCAGCCCATTCTCTGGGTCGGGTTAGCCCTTACTTTTCTTATTTTTGGGCCAAGCATTTGCATATGGGCTGAGCCAATCTGATGGGCCTTTAGGCCCTGTACCAAGAGTTTGGTAGTTCGGATACTTATTTGGACGTACTGAACATGTTATGCCCGTATGTCTTTGTCTCCGTACGGGTGCAGACCCGGGGAGGATAAAGTTTTTTTTGTTGGTCAGAAACAAATTGTTAGTATATACAATCAATACTTTTCTCTCTCAAAACCAATCAATAACTTAAGCAATTCAAAGTATCCTTAATCCTTAGTATTATAAAACAAATAAAAATAACTCAAAAAATAACTGAATATTTATATTTTATTTAGATTTAAAAAATTACAGCGCCTAAGTTTTATTATGTCCAAATACACAAAATGGTATACAAAACCAGAATATTCTAAAAAATGGATAAATATTTTTTGCAATCATTACTAAAATGTTATAAAAAATGTATGTATACATAGTATTTGGAAATAACATTACAGATTGTTTTAAATTATTATACTCCTTTTTGTCAACAATTTTACAAATGGTTTTGTTCAAAAATTTACAAGACTGAAATGTATTAAAAAAAAATTTTTATTTTTGAAATATTCTTATTTTTCAGAACAAAACACCTCGTTTTATTTAGAACACGCACCGTTCAGAAATCGCTGGTCACGAATCGTTTCATTTAGAACACAATTCGGAAATAGAAAGTTGCTGGTTCGATATCTCAGTGAGAATTCATTCTCTCTCTGAGACTCTTCTGTTTTCTTCTCCTTTTGCTGATTGATTATGAGCTTCTGTATATTTCAATCTGGTCTAGCTAATCTGGAATCATAGATCTACAATCGAACTTTCTTTTGTGTTGTAGTTTCGTTGTTCGTAGTTAAATTGGTTTCCGATGATTCTATAAGTATCTTGTGCTAACGATTTCATGCCGAACATTTTTGCAAGCTTTCAACAGTGCATAGTACTCTTATTTACGTTGAATCAGCTCCCATTTTTTTTTTTATATATTTGTCATTTTTGGGTAGAAAGGTGTTTTTGAAACTCCCCAGAAGAAACATGCTTACTTCAAGAGGTCTGAAGGGAAGTTCAGGAGACAGCGTGGTATGTTTTCATCTTTGTCTCGTCCTCGTTTTCGTTAATGCTTTGTGGCTAATAATGTAGTTAAGTCTAGTTGTATTTGTATAGGAAACATAGCATATTTGGCTTAGTTAATACCTCTGATTATCCTTTTTATCCCCTGAAACAAACCCAAGCCACTTCTGGTTTTGGCATCAAGTAGGCTTTGTGGCTAATAATTTAGTTAAGTCTAATTGGACTTGTACAGGAAACGGAGCATATTTGGCTTAGTTAATACCTCTGCTTCTTCTTTTGATCCCTTGACACAAACCCAATCCACTTCAATTTTAGCATCAAGCAGGCTTTGTGGTTAATCATGTAGCATATTTGGCGTAGTTATTCCTGTGATTTGCTTGCATTGATCTCATATAGCTCTGTTTGTGTTAATTTTCAGCAAAATGGCCTGCATTCCTGATCCTACAGGAGGAGTGATTAGATTGCCTAGAACCAAATATGGCGTAGGACAAGAGGTCAACCCGGACAGTAAGACCGCATTCACTTGCTGTTCAAATTTTTCATATGTGGAGAGATTTAAAGAAGAGCTGCCCCCTGATGTGTTCCAAAGATTGGAGAATTCTTTCATCAGGCCAATCATCAACCTTTCGTTAAAGGAAGATGTTTTTCCCTCTCTCGCTTTTCAGATAAAATTCTCAAAGATAAAATTCTCTCTGATTTCTTATTCAACACAAAACCTCAAGAGCTTCCCAGAAATCCTAACAAAAGTACGGATTTTTAAAGAAAATATCAAAGCTTCCTTTTTTCTCTGTGTTTAGGTAATTAATCATCTTTCGTGGAACACAAAAGAAAACACATAAAAGAAAGGGATTATGATTTTTGGGGTAACTAGTTATCTATTTATTGTGCCGGCAAATTAAAGCAGAAAGACTCAACACAAACACAGAACTGAAAAGTCTTCCCTACTAAATCATTTATAGGTTGTGGAATGTTTTCAGGATCCAGCATCTATTTGTAAATTTAGAATTTTTTTGCAAATTAATAACTTATATCAATCTTTTGTATATAACAAATAAATAAAGAACCACCAAGTAGACACATAGTTGATTATGGCACAATAGAGCTTGCAACAGTATCTAGCAGCATTACTTTTGTTTTGGCAGTTTGGTCCATAACCATGAAATGCAACTTAAACCTGAAATAAGTAGATAACATACGATTACTTCTAAACACTTGCAAAAATAAATGTATAATAAAATAAGAGATCACAAAATATTACTTGGCTTCGACTTTTGTCACGATTTCTCCACAAGTCTTACACCACCAAGTAGGCCCACTGATGCACACTTTTGATATTGATTGCTTCTTCATGGTTCTTTCAACCTTTCTGTTGCATTTAACGCACCTAAAATAGTACCAACCCCAGTCTGTATCAATAGCATAGATCGAACACACAATCTTGCATTTGTCAATCTCTTCACAAAACCTTTCATAAATATTAGTCAACCATTTCAATAGTTAGTATATCACAATGTAATAAATATATGTAAATTTACCTCGGGCGAAATCAGTAACTCCTCAATAGTCTTTTGTTGCAATTTAGATCAATATTATTTCTTCTTAACTAATGCATCTTCATTATTTGTAGACTCTACAATGGTGAGAGCAAAACCATCATCTGGCAACCTGAACATAACTAAAATAGGCATCAATATAGGTTCTGTATGAGTAATTTAAACCATATTGTTTAATGCTTTGTATATTTTTGTTTGGCACTTATGTTTTCACAAATTCTTCCACCTCAGGTAATGCAGGATTCATCACTAATTTGGATATATCGAATGCATTTGTGATCTGTAGTTTCTATGTGAAAGAAGCAAAGAATTTTCATGACACTAATACCACGGGACAAAGACCAACAAGTAATTTTAATTTATTTTAATACATACCTTTGTAGGTACCAAGTTTGGCAGATTTCATTAAGCATATAATTATGGGTCCAGTTGTTTCTTGGCAACTTGTCCAGAGTTGATCAGCAAACCTATCCCACAAACAACATGGCATCCGATCATCACTACAAAAAGGTAAAGCAAAATTTTAAACTTCTTTGGTAAGCAGATAACTGTATATAGCACAGCCTGAACATGAATCAAAATTTGTGAACATAAATAGCATAATCACTTTGAATCTCTTAGCTCGAATTCAGTCTTCTTCCTCTCATTTCCATTGACTTGAACAGTTTTAATATCATTCACATCAACTACTTGGTGGATTACATCTACAACAAACATTAAACGCACTGTTTAGTTTTAATTTCACAAAACGTATCAACAAATAATTTATAAAATACTCACCAACCAAAAAACTGTGATTAAGGGTTCTACTCAAAATAGTACCAAAATACCAAAATCCATGAGTTTGATAAACTTGTTGTTTTTTTTATACTGCATTTGGTGGTAGATGTGTTGTCGGTGAAAGCTATTTTGTATGTGGCTAATTGGTCAATACTGTTCAGATGCAGATATTAGAGAGAAATTTTCAATAACTTTTTATTCTCTGAAGGGAACCAAACGTTCAACACGACTGACATAATTCCTTTTACAGGTAGCATGTATCATAGTACCATGCCAAAGGTAACTCTTAAATAATTAGTTTTCCGTAATATACTTGTAACAGTACATATAGCTAAAAGATATATGTACATAACTTACAGATTCGTCGGCAATAATGAGCTCCAAAGTTTGACCTGATTGCACGGTGTATTGCTTCCATGAGTGGATGACTTTCATACAGATTCGCCATCCTGTTTTGTAATGTTTGACATCTGTCAGGTTAGTGAAACCAATTAGAGAACTCATTTTGGCGTGTATTGTTTAAGAGATTTGGCGCTTATATAAGTTGTACGATATAGATTTAGAGCACTATATATAGGAAGGACAACTAAAGAAATGCAATATTTTCATTGATTATCATATTTTTTGGGTTCGTGACTTATACGGTTCTGATCCCAAATCTAGTTAGACGAGATATTCTTGATAATACCTTACCTTAACAACCAACTTAATTAGTAGTAAATATATGTTAATTAACCAACAATCGAATAACTTATAGGAGGTGTTATTGGTTCTTGTATTTTAATGGAGTTAAGAATCCAAACCAAATTCAGTGTTATTGGTTCTTCTATTTTAAAATCTATTTTGAAATACAGTGTTATTGGTTCTATGATTTTAAAATCCATAATGAACTACAGTGTTATTGGTTCTGTAATTTTAAAAGCTAAATATTATAAGAATTTGAGTTTTAATTGAATTTGAATGGATTTGGAAAGACTTTCATGACTAAAATAGAAAGACCCAAATACAAGGTTTAACCTTGGTATTTGAGTGGATTTGATTTTTTTTTCCTTTTTGCTGATTTTAAAATCAAGATTTATCAAATCTAACAAATATTTCTAAATTCATTAAAATAAAAGAACCAATAACCCCTACATAATCAAATATGGTTGTTTGTTATATAGGATGATGCCAATCCGGAACTAAATATATTGATCTATATCATTTAATTGTTCCTGTAATTTGCTTCACGAGATTGATATATGCATTGATTGTGGTAGATTTAGATAGATACCAACAAATGGTAGAGGACCAGTTGTATATTAACAAATCGACATACGCTATTTCTGGGTCCAAGCAGTAAAATATTTGACCACCCTTCTTCACGATTTTACCCTCACGCGCTACCCAAATTAATCTCAGCAAAATCCATTCACTTTACCCAATATCTGACAATAGCGTACTAGGGACAAATAAAATATTTTGTCAATCACTTAAACCGAAAAAGTTGTAACTCATTTTCTGTATGGCGCATGAAGTGGCATATTTAATATCCCGCCTTATTGCCTTCACGGAACCCTAAAGTCCAACTTTGCCGTTTGCGGTCTTCAATATCCTGATAACCCCAAAGTGAACCAGAGTCAGGGGAACGAACCAGATACAGAGGAAAAATAGTCTCTTCACTGGTGAAATATACCGCCCCAAATACCGGAAGTTGATTATCCCCTTCACTGGTAACCCCCACTCGTCGGTCATGTACGTGACTCCCCGTAGTGTTGTATTACTAATTTTGTCTTATAGATCGTAGTCAGAAAAGTTTCTGATGATTTACTGTTGGTTCTATCGATAGTGGCTACCGATTCACCATTTTGTATCTATTTTTTTCTTTGATTTTTTTCCTAGAATATCCCGTAAGTGTCAAAATCTAAGTTCTGGAAACCAGATCTCAACAATCAAAACAAAATTGTAGATCTCCATAGCAGACCTTCACATACAAATATGCACATCCGTTCTGATATATAGACATCCATTAATCTAGTTAGAGCTCAAGGGTTATTAGATCTAGCCGCATATCCAGATTTAGGAGTAGAAGTCACATTTATACATGGTAATCCTTTCTGATAAATAGTCATCCACCAAATTAATCATCCACCAAACTCAATTTGACACCTACAAATATCACTCAACTAACCTGTAGTTCCGATGTATATATGTAAATCCTCTCCCACAAATAGGCCTCCGAAAGCTTATTGACCTGTACCACAAAACCGCTCACTCGGGGAAACTTTCCCACTTTCATCTAACCAGGCAGCTGAAGATGGACAAAAGGCATGCGCTTTGGTTCGTTTTTGGGGGGAAGCCAATAAATTCTTTATACGCGAGTTTGCGATTGTGACGGGGCTAAACCTCCAAAGCATTACCCCCCCCCCCCCCCCCCCCCCCCCCCCCCCACCCCCCCCCCCCCCCCCCCCCCCCCCCCCCCCCCCCCCCCCCCCCCCCCCCCCCCCCCCCCCCCCCCCCCCCCCCCCCCCACCCCCCCCCCCCCCCCCCCCCCACCCCCCCCTCCCCCCCCCCCCCCCCCCCCCCCCCGCGATATCCTTCAATGTAAACCCGGGGAAGTCTCCTACTGGTTCACCTTATTTGGGGGCAATGAAAATATCACTGGCGAGAAGCTAGAAGTGATGCTTAGGCGGTCTAAAAATGTTTCAAGCGAGTTAAAGATCAAATATGCATGCCTCGTGCTTGTTGATGGCTTGTTATGCCATAAATCAGCTGGCATGAAGATTCCGAAAGACCATTTGGAGATGACTCATGACCTCGAATATTTCCTCAACTTCCCTTGGGGGTGTCACTGCTTTGAAATGACAGTTCAGTTCATATATTCTTGAGTTTGTCTTACAATTCTATATGCGGGTAACTTATTGTAGGTCTCTGTGACTAATAATCCAAGGCGAATTTGATGGAACTCCCCCCCCCCCCCCCCCCTCCCCCCCAAAGGTGCCTTCTCATGGCCCGATGAAGTAGACAACCCAATGGTAGATTACATGGAGATGCTCATTGCAGAGGGAGCGGAGTTTTGCAGGGACTCCTTTATCGGGGGTCAGTTAGCTGCTGCGCCACCCACATAATCTTCAGTTCTGAAAAGTCGAAAATGCAAAAGGAAATGTGCGGCCAAAAGAAAGGTCCGTCGGGAGTACTTCGCAGGCTAAGAAAGCCAAGGACGGTCGAAAATCAGCAAAGGCTGATGACAAAGAAGATTTTGTGCCTAATAAGATGGACATGATTTCAGAGCAAATCGAAGCTGCAATGAAGAGGGCTAAAGCGGCGATGGTTAATTCACTGGACACATCCATGCTCGCAATGGAGAGTAGGCTGGAGAGGAGATTCAAAGAAAGAATTGCCACTATGATGGCTACAGAATCCCAAGCCAGCGAAGTGGACCAAGTTATTGACGACGTCATCCGAGACATCAACGCCAAACCAGCCACTGAGGAGACAGCGCCCGTTATCGTTGGTTCTAACCACCAGAAAACCAAACACGCTGACATTGAAAAACCAACAAGGCAGGAAATGCTCGATGCTAGTGACAGGCCCGCAGTATCTCCTGCCGATGTAATCTTAGCTATGCCCATCCAGAAGGAATCTGTTATTTTGAGTGCACAACAGAAGGTACATTCTCTGCGCGCTGCATTGAATACGCCAGAGATGGTGGACAATCCCAAGTTCACTGTACTAACCATCAACGCCTCCCCTGAAAAGTATTTGCTTTGTACATGTCCATTAGTTTACATGTATATCCATATGTATGTATAAACGCTTATACTATTATATAATGTACCTTTATATGCGTCCATAAATGTATGTAACAGTTCACTCTACTAGATAACGTTCACAAATGTTTTCGTAAGGTACTAAAAATGGGTGAAGGATTGTGTATCAAGGAACAAGATTTACTTGATTTACCTCATTCCATTCCACCATCCCGTCCCGAGGTCTGAAACCACGGTCTACCCCTTTGTATCTAAGTAGATTATCTCAGCAGATTTATGGATGACATTGTTTGTTTTGTTAGGTCATGGATGCTTGCGCCATGATGTTGCAAAAATCCTGGCTCGCGTGCGTTACACCCCCTGGAGATAATAGGGCCGACATTCTGCCTAGCAGCTGGGCCGTCACCATCCAAACACTATCCCAATATCAGCAAATTAAACCGGAAAGACACTTTCGAATTTGGGGAAGCTATCATGGATATGGTTTGCGCACTGCCTAAAGTATGGATCAAAGACATTGACTTCGTCTACTTCCCCTTAGCCGAAGACAAGAACAGATGGGTGGGGGTCGTGATAGATATAATATCTGCCACCATGACAGTCTTTGATGCATCGGCCTCTGAGAGGCGTGGAGCGCGTATTATCCCAGAGCTATAGTAAACTTGCCAAATGTTCCCATACCTCGTTCGTAAGGCTGCAGGTGGGGAGGGAATGATAGATTATGGGCTCGTACCCCTGCAGATTAGGAGAGACACAGCGGTTGTTTAATCAACTGAAAGGAAAACAACAGGGATGCTGACCTTCATTATCATGGAGGTGCATGCTGCGGGGGGGGGGACTGTCTAATGCTTATGCAGTACACGAAGGAATGATCGAACAACGTGCTAAGAACCTAATGGTGGAGATGGTCGAACATTGCGTGGGGGAGATCGAAATACCGTAGTGTAATGTGGACATACAAAACTCTTTATGCGTGTTTAAATGTAAGCTTTGGCATCCATAAGCGTCCTTTTTTTGCTGTTTGTCTGTTGATTGTATTGAAGGGTCCCAATTTGACGTTGTTAATTTGTTTGGACACAACTATTTTACTTTAGTTTCATCTCACAAAAGTTGGGGTGGTTGTATTTTAGAAGTCAAGTTTGAAATTAGATATTTGAACTTCACAATTTAATTATATAGGTAGGACTATATGTTAGAAGATGTAGAATATATTAGAATATACATTTTCTACTTATCATGTGAACTGTTACATTAAAATATAAGCATCCATTATAGCATTAGATCCCCATTATCAGTATTAATGATACTGTGTAGAGGACGTCGTCCTTAGTTGTATACAAAAATTAGTTAAGGACACAGATTTATCTTAACATAAATATATCACATTAAACAGCATACATACATGGCCCACTCAGGGGCTGAGGTTTAGATATATTACAAAGACAAGATAGTACAATTATCCAGAAGTTTATCATACAACGACAATGCCTCCATCGATGCATAGCAGCATTTGTGGCTATAACTGTGGATGCAATACAATGGTTGAAAGAAGACACTTATTTTCCGAGCACACAATAGAAATTTAAAGCCGCTGAGCTATCATACAACACAAAATCAGAAGCTCCAATCGGCGTGCAAAAACAAAACCACGAACATGATTACAGGTAGGGATGGAAGTTCAAAAATGAATTTAAGGTCAATATATCCTAGACAATTACCTTATAGCACACGAAACCATTATATGGGGAACTTACACGAAGAACGATTATGCCCAATCCCATTGCAGCGGCTGCACTTGCAGAAAACCTTCTTCCCCGAACGCTAGATTTTGACAAATACAATCAAGTCAGCAATAGACAGTCATTTAAAATTATATGTTGATATAATGATATATACCAGTACACTTGATACCTTATACTCCCCTGTTGAAAGGTATCTACTATGCTTTGGCCTACCTAGTGGCCTCTTTGTCTTTGGTGCTTGGACATTCATAGCAGCAATCTTGGGAGGGACCGCATACACACTGTCCAAGGCGGGCACCAGACGCCAGTGAAATGTCCCATACTTTGAAGCCACAATCGTTGGGATATGAACGTCACCCTTACTCGCCGCCGCAACAGCGTGACAGCACGGTATCTTCAAAATACTAAACTCTTCACACATGCATGTTTTGCGATGAAAGTCGACATGGTAAGATAACCATGTATGTGTTTTCACTCCATAATGGTCTTTGTTTATTTGTAGGACGTTCCAAGCTGTGAAACGTTCGTAGTTAATATGAATGAGCTCTCCAACCTTCGGAGTCATCGGTGAAATATGTTTTGTCGCCATGTCTCTCCTTTTGCTGAACCAAGACATGAGTGTACTACGTATGAACTCTAGCATAGATACGATTGGCTACTGACGAGCTTCCTTTAGGGCGGTGTTAAAAGACTCCGCTACATAACTTATCATGATGTTGCATCGTTCACCGTCACAAGGAGATCTCGTTCAGTGGTGGAAACCGATGGTGTTCAAGTACTCCGCACATTCTGCTAACATCCCCTCGATCTCTGCAAAGTACTTGTGGAATGTAGATCTCCTATAGGCACGAGCTGCTTTGGAAATCACACCCGCAAGGGCCTTGTTCTAGAACTTCGCCGCTACATTCCTCTATAGATGCACGATGCAGGCCCCGTGTGTTGACCTTGGATACTCCTGAAATTTTTCGTCCATACATGAACCCCCACACTAGTCAGAATGCAATAT